TCGAAAATTCGTCTTCCCCCCCCCCCCCATCCCCCCTCCCACTCAGGACGCAACGGAAAATTGATCACGCCGTGATGCCGCAGCTTCGAGAGCCCGCTGATTGATCGATCATACCCGTTAGAACGACCGCGTTGCGTTGTTTCCTTACCGACCGATCAATCAGTTACTTTTCCAGCGCGAGCACATAATCCACCGACCTGGAAAATTGCCAGTCTGTCTTTATTATGTTCCGTGAATCGCGAGCCGCGATCCCAGCAACTGCTCTGTTGTTTTGAATCGATCCGTAGAGGAACCGGTACGCTTCGCGTGTCACTCTCGTCACTCGACGTTCACAGAGTATCGACGAGAACTATGCATATCCAAAGCTTTAAGCTTTCGTTCATATCTAAATGAGTTTCTTCAAGTTCTGGACCCGATTGCGAGATCGTTTCTCGAATAAAATTATGGTTATAGCGGTTATTCCAAGAAATTGTCGTTCTGACGAATATGCCAAGACGTACGTAAAATTTCGTTTATATGAACTTCTTAATTCAGAGACAATTAAGGTAATTAATAAAAATCCGTCGATCCTTTTCGCGTTTTTTTATTCGCATCACCTCTAGATCCAACCAACAAGAGTTTATTCAAATTTGATTAAAATTTGGTTCAAACGAATGCTGTCCACACAAACGAAGTTCTACTGCACGTACGAAAACTTCTTACGAAAGCATGCACTCCGATCCTCAAACGTTATATATATTCGTCGCAACGACAAAATTTATCCACCGCAACCGCATTCTCTACGTAGAACAAAATCGCGCGTTCGAAACACACGCTTAGAAAACGTGCGCGAAATGTCTCGTCTACGCGTTACTATGCCAGAACGTACCCACGGTGACGGTAGTTAGTTGAACTTAATTGGCAGGATTAGTATCGCGCGTAACAGAGGCCTACCGATCTCGCGACGTATCGATGCATGCAAACACGTCGAGATCGATGCGAGGCAATCGGTCGAAGAAACGCGGTGGAAAAAGAGGCAAAGGGAAACAAGAAAACGAACGAAAGAAAGAAGCGTGGATCACCTCTGCCGTGAGTGCGAGAGCGTGAACGAACAAGTACACCAACGGTGTGCGTTTACCGTTGACGTGAAGGAGTGCAGAATGAGCGACGGTGGCAGCGCCATTGGCCACGCGACAGGTGTACGTGCCATTGTGCGCGGGTGCGATCGTGCTAATGCTCAGGGCGCTGGTAAAAGCGTCATATTGCCGGACGGTAATGGCCTTTCTCGGGGATTGTTCGGCCTGCCCCAAGTCGACCTTGGGGCCCCGCTTGGGCCCCTTAATCGGGTCTCCAGCACCGGCCGAGGCCTGAACGCGGCTATGGCCGGACGACGGGGTGTCCTGCGACGTCCTGATCGTCTCTATTGGGACGTTATCTTTCAGCCACGTGAACGTCAGTGGCAGATCGCCAGTCACGACTACGCACTGTACGCTAGTACGGTGCCCTACGTTTAAATCGCGAGCAAAACTGAAAGGCGTGATTTTAGGTGGCACTGAAAGAACAATACAAAGACAAAGGTGGCATTCCAGTCAAAAGCGGTTCGAGAGAAAAAGAAAAAAAGAAAAAAAACG